AAACCACACACCTCACAAATATGAACTACACCCAACCACCCGTTAGGCTAACCAGAGGTACAGCAGGCGAGTGGCTAGACCCACTGCTTGGGGATCCACTAAAGACCTGGAACTGTTCTGTCAGTCCAAGAAGCGAGCTCGAAGATATCTATTGGTTTACACCAGCTTGTAAAAGAGGTATTGGATATTGGATGCATTGTTTTATGTTACCATCGCTACTCAATGACAAGTACTTAAGAGTCTCACGATTTCAAAAAGCATGTCTCTTGGTAGCGAAATATGTATTCTCAAATTGAGAGAGGAAGTCTATTTGCTCCACAAGTTTGTAGAGGAACTAAATGAACGTGCAAATATGAAGAGAGCATACTCTTGGAAGTTCCCTGGGAAATCAGCTTTCGAAATCAAGATCCACTCTGTCCTATCTAAGTGCAGCTATTCAACAGCTAATCGCTCATCAAATACCGTAATGCATGTGTTTTTACTCGAGATGATCATTGACAGGTATTCATGATACCTGATCAATCTAAAAATACTCTACAGGTGCTTACTGATATTTCAGATTTTGAGTTATATATGTAAGAATGATTGTCGTTACGTGACAACCTATCATCATTATGTAAATTCACTGACTTCCTGTGTTAGTGAACATGTTTCGGTTGTCAGTGCTCTGTTAATGCATTCAGTGTTAGTATGTTTGTGGTTTCACCTGCTAAGCTTTGTAGATATTGAAAAAGGAGAAAATATTGAAGAAAAAACTATTGAAGACTGTTATATGGAAAGCCTTGAGACGGAAAAATGCGTAGACAGTAAAGTGGCTGCTGAAGCATTGAAGTGGATTTCCGATGTGGAAAGTTTCTATAATAATTCTTCCCAAATACCATCAAAGGTTGCCAGCGAAAATGTCGATATAAGACACAAAGATCAAGAATCTCAGACTGAAGTATGCCAAAGAAAAGATGATGACTGCTCACTAGTATTTTCGGTCATGATACCAGTAAGCATTTTATTGCGATCTAATCTCAGTGGAGGTCTTAGCGAAGTATTTGGTAAAGCCAATGGACACATACAACCTACCCTCAGAAACTGGACGCTTCATACAACAGATTACCAACAACCCTAGAAACGTCTGTGATCTGGATGGGTCGAAGTCTTTTTCGTGTTTCTTGAACGGGATCTAGCACGTCTCATGAAATATTTCGACGCACATAGTTCATCCAGTAAGGTTCTGAAGGACCAAGTAAACTTGATGAAAGAAGAGAATACCCAACTGTCGAAAGAATTAATGGATGCACAAGTTAGTTGAATGCAGCTTCAATATACATGATTTTTTGATCGTTTTAGTGGATCATAGGAGTTTATTTTGAGTCATCCACCTAGCGAATTTATATTTGCTTTTACATATGAAACATTTCTTAAGCTTGTAATCAATATTTGACTCAATACATGAACATAAGTATCCTGAACAGTCGCCATATGTGAATTTTTAACTTGATTGGGGTAGACACCACACTGAGTTAGGCTATTAAGTGACAATAGTTGGAGAATTTTCCGTCAGTTACCATACTTATATTTGTGTTTATTCTAGTGGTTTATTCATCCTGGAACAATGATTTGTTGACACTTAGATTTTTAAAAATTGCTTCACATATTGCTTGACTGTGGTGAAAACACACAGAAGTAGACCAAGGTCCGCAAAATGTTGATGTATAACTTCAGTTTTCTGGGCTACTACCTTGATTTTTACTAGTCTCTAGCACTTTTATGTGGCTGATAGATCAACATTTTTAAACTCCAGTTTCATGACAGCAACTATTGTTGCGTAACTGCTGTAAGTACTTCCATAAGGATTTTAGGTTTGGTAAATTGAAGTTTAAATTATCCGAAGCAACTCATACATCGTCTTTTATAGTTTTATTCAAAATATGTGAAGTGACATATCAGTGCCTCCCAAAACATTTGTTCGTTTTTTTATTCGATAAATCAATCAAATCTACTACCCCATAGCAAAAGTTGGTATGAATACGCTAACTAAAGAATATCATTTGTCAATTTTAATCTCACGATCACTTTTAGTGATTCGAAACAGAATCTATATTTGCCATATTATGCATATTAAGATGGAAAATTAAGTAAACTTTCGGCCTTAAGCTTATCAGAAATTTTAAGCCACTTTGGATCATTAATTAGCCCTATGAAAGTCTTCGAGAACGAATCGGATGGGCAAACAGCAGTCATATAAGAAAAGAAGATAATCGTTACGAGAGATCAAAACGAGATCATTTTCAGGTTTCTCAATGAATAAAATAGTAATTATCATTACGCAATTAAGTGGTATAATCCCACACTTCCATTTAACAATATCTCTCCTTACAACAACCTAAGTAACTTGGAGACTATTTCGTGAATAAGCTTCATGTGTCTTATTTTTGCTGTTTGCTTACCCAATTCTATAAAGAAGTACACTGTGGTGACGACACGATCTATTCTAAACAACCACTGCATCTTTATTTCATGAATCAACTTATCTAGTTAGCCTTCAAATTTCTTGCCTCGCGACTTTTATAAGTTGAATTACGCACTAAAAGTAATATTCGTTAAGTGAACTCTGTTGTGTCTTGTGGACTTATTATTGAATCTATTCTTCATCATAATATAGCGCAGTGCAATGAACTTGCTCAGCGTGTAGTTGGTAGTTAATAAATCACAAAATGTCTCACCGACCCCGTAAGTAAAGTCATTTTTTCGAATGCAAACAGGTTCACTCTATGAGTTCAGATGCTTATCATAAGCATTCCGCCGGAACAATGCAAAATCGTTATTATGCACTAGTACGCGCATAAATCAAATCGAATTTTCACGTGTTCACTAATTTGCATTAGACAGTTTTTGAATTCTGTGAGCATATCTACTCACTATAATTACTCTTCCCCAGTTGAAAGAGGTGGACATTAAGCTGAAGTTTTTCCTTGTAAAAGAAGAAAAATGTCCTCACCTACGAAGCCAATGGTTGAAATTGTGGGATGCAATAAAATGACCTAGTACTGCCGATGAAAACGACATATCTCGCTAAAGTTGGCTAAGGATCCTTTGTAGTGATCAGTAAGACTGAACGACCTTTAAAAACCTGGTAAACTCGCTGAAATGCCATCTCCTAGCTTTCGAGAACGATGTATCTAAATCTGTTCTTGTCCCACTGCGTACACACAGTACTTATTCATTCAGTTTTGATGAGAGACCCTAATTGCAGGTGATTTTTACCGGGGTTTGACTGGAACTTATGATCGAAGTTGCTTCCGCACATGCAGCTCTGTAAATAATATGGTTTGTGTAGATTTTGAAAAAATGTTGTGACCAATGGGGCAAAATAAATAGACAGTTAGAATAAATCCCTGTGTGACACCAGGCAATTAGGCTTTTATAGTAAAAGATGGTTTGGTTTGGAAGTCTCAACTCCTTTCCAGACCGCAATGAAATATTGATCAAAATGACACGACGATTATTGCAATACTTGTTTTAAACGTATTATATATGTTTAAGATGCTTAAAAAAATAGTGTGTCTGAAACTTTTTGTAAATGAGGGAGTTTGCTGACTTTAACAGTCAAGTTATTTACACCTAAAAGTTTTTGAGTAAGCTTTTGAATTGACTTTTTCCCACCAAGTTAACTGCTATGTTTTTCCTTACCTTACCAATTGGTTTCCCGTCAACAAAATTTGTTTCCTTCTGTGGTCATCACTTACAGACAGTGTGTAAGAAGTTGCAAATGTTTCAGACTTGCATAAAGTCACCATTCACATGTAACACCAATCGAACTAAGAACTCTAAATATTCAAATTTCTGACCACTAGTGCTGAACAAGTAATATAATTCTGTTTTACTGCCACTAGTGTTAGGCTATGAACTTATAATCTGTCTGACTAACCTTGTTGTTTTTCAGTTGCATGTACCAGCTTTAAGAGAGAGCTTTTGAGATGAGAAGCATGGTCTGTCACTTTTCACCTATAATTATTTTTAGCGTTTCTGTACTTCATGAACCTTAAACAGGTACTTCAGTAACCAAGGTTGCGCAGCTAAGACGCCTCTCACAAATGGAAAAATTATGTTTAGTTCCTAATAGGTATTATGATATCACACAGGTGACAAAGACACATAAGTCTTTTTATTCCCCTCAGGATTTAGTCGATCATTAACACTTAGGGTTCTCACAACTCTTCAGGTGGTTGAAGTACTCAACACGTTCACTCGTGTTGCTGCCTTGAATCAGGTATGGCATCGATGCATCTGATTTAAGCAGAAATGGTGTGTGTTTTGATTATAAGAGTTATTTAAATAGTTAGTTCAATACTAGTCTCTCTGTCTTAGTTTTCATACCACAAACTATATGTCGCATAGAGAGAAAGAGAGAAAAGGTATAAGAATGTGGAATGTCATCTATATTTTCTCCTCGACAGCGTCTTCAAAATGACTGTATTCATGATATGGCTGTAAATCGGTCAACGTGGCTCAGGTTTACTCTTTTTTAGTAATAATCAAAATTTTTAACCTGAATGTGTATCCGGAAACAAGTTTGTCATCCTTTGTCCTTAGTTAATTTTTAATCCTTCAACTTTCCAGTTCTCAGACCTAAATAATCTTTCTTTCAGTTTTCATATCGGTATTACACAAACGATATTCGTTTAGCTCATCTACAAATTTATCACTATCATACCGACAGCTGTCTACTCACTTTGTTATAAATTCTTTATATCTTGGTTTCAACCCGCATTCATGCATGTTGTCAAAAACTTTCATATATCTTCCATAATTCCCATTCCTAGATTATTTCCGTAGTCACAAACTACTGACAGTTATTATTATTATTTTTATTATTAGTCCCTTGGGTTCCTAGTGGAACATTGGGCTTCAGTAGCACGCCTCCAGTGACCTCTGTTCTCTGAGATCTTTTGAACCTGGTCCCACGACAGCCCAGAAGCTCTCATTTCCTGCTCGCACGACCTCCTCCATGTCACCCTCGGACGTCCAACTCGTCGCTTCCCATGGGGATTCCACTCGAGGGCCTGACGCGTGATGTCCTCCGTCGGCCTTCTCAGTGCATGGCCAATCCATCTCCACTTCTTCCTGCATATTTGTTGCGTGATAGGTTCTTGGTTGGTTCGTTCCCAGAGTTCCTTGTTGCTTATTCTTTCTGGCCATCTGATCTTCAGTAACGAGCGTAAGCAGTTGTTGATGAATTTCTGTAGTTTATTGGAAATGCCTTTCGTGACGCGCCAAGTCTCTGAGCCATACAAGAGCACTGACTTGACGTTGGTGTTGAAAATCCGTATCTTGTTCCGCATGCTGAGTGCAGAAGATCTCCACACTGGTTTCAGGCTAATGAACGCCTGTCTTGCTTTTCCGATTCTGACTTTGACGTCCTCGTCCGTCCCGCCTGTAGTTGAAACAGTGCTTCCTAGATAAGTGAAGGAGGTTACTTCCTTCAAGTTTCTCCCGTTGACGGTGATTGGAGTTTGTTGTTGTTGTTGTTGATGGTGGTGGTGCGGTATCTTCATCACTTCTGTCTTCTCTATATTCACCTGAAGTCCCGTCTTAGCTGCTTCTTCTATCAACTTGTTAGTTTTTGCCTGCAGATCTTCAAGTTTATGTGACATTAGGCATAAGTCATCGGCGAAATCCAAGTCTTCTAGGTTCTTTTCCGTCGTCCAGTGTATCCCCCTCTTCTCGCTGCCTACTGTTTGCTGCATGATCCAGTCCACCACAATAAGGAATATCATGGGGGATAGTAGGCAACCTTGTTTCACTCCTGTCTTCACTTCAAAGGCATCACTGAGCTTCCCATTGTGGATTACTTGGCATGTGGCATCTTCATATAGTTGTTGAATGAGGCGGATAAAGGTTTGCGGTACTCCGTAGTATTGAAGCAGTTTCCAAATTACTTCTCTGTCGACGCTGTCAAAGGCCTTCTCAAAGTCGATGAAGTTGAGGTAGAGAGCTGATTGCCATTCTATGCTCTGTTCTATGATGATACGAAGCGTTGCAATTTGGTCTGCACATGATTTGTACTTCCTGAAGCCTGCCTGTTCCGGTCGCAGTTTTGAATCCAGTGCATCTTTAAGCCTCTCCAAGATGATGCGGCTTAATATTTTACTTGGGGTGGACAGGAGAGTGATTCCTCGCCAGTTCTTGTAAGCACTGAGGTCTCCCTTCTTCGGCAGTTTGACAAGGTAACCCTTCTTCCAATCGTCAGGTACCTTCTCTTCCTTCCACACCTTCTGCAATAGTGGTGTGAGCATGGCCGCTGTTGTCTCTGCATCTGTTCTCAGTGCTTCTGGCGGTATTCCATCTGGTCCTGCTGCTTTCCCGCATTTCAGTAGCTTTATGGCGTTCAGGACTTCCATTTTCGTTGGGGGATTAATGTTCACTTGTAATTCAGCGGCTGCAGGTGGTATTTCTGGACGAAGTGCAGGTGGTGGTCGATTCAAGAGCTTCTTGAAGTGGTCGGCCCATCGTTTCCTCTGTTTCTCTTCTTTCGTAATTAAATTTCCTTCTTCATCTTTTATTGGTTTCATCTGTGTTGGTCTCTTCCCAGATAGCAACCTGGTTATTTGATACAATGTCGTCAGGTCTCTCTTACCTGCAGCCTGTTCTGCTTCACTTGCCAGTGTTTCGTAGAAGTGTCTTTTGTCTTTGCGTGCACTCTTCTTCACTTCTTTGTCCAGTGTTTTATACATTGTGCTCAGTTCCTCTTGTCGTTGAGCATCCTTGCACTGGTTTATCTTCTGCTTCACCATCCTCCTCTCCTCTATCAGCTTCCAGGTATCCGTCGAGATCCATTCCTTGTCTTCTTTCTTCTTCCTTCCTAATACTGTTGTGCAGGTTTCTTTCCACATAGCTTTCAAAGACTTCCAGTGTTCTTCCACACAGGTTTCTTCAGGGATGTCCCTCGATGTCTCCCATTTTGTCTTGATGGCTGCCTTGAAGATCTCCTTTGTAGTTTCATCCTTCAGTTTCCGAGTGTTGTACTTGGGTTGAGGTCTATCACCAGCTTCCTTGAAGGCTTTTAACTTGATTTGGAAGGTTCCTTGCACTAGATAGTAGTGGTCTGAACCTACATCTGCTCCTCTTCTTGACCTTGTGTTAAGTAGACTGCGTCTCCATTTTCTTGAGATTGAGATAAAGTCGATTTGATTTTTAGTGTGTCCATCTGGTGAAATCCATGTCGCTTTGTGGATATCTTTGTGCCTGAACACACTGCCTCCAATCACCAAATCGTTGAATGCGCAGAATTCTGCAAACAATTCTCCATTCTCATTCATTTCACCTAGCGCCTCTCGACCCATGGTTAGTTCTCTTCCCGTGTTGTCCCCTCCCAGTTTGGCATTCATGTCGCCCACCCATCAGAATTTTGATATCGCCAACTGACGTCTTGTCCAGTGTTGATTGAAGTTGTCTGTAGAAATCCTCCTTTTTCTCTTGCTCTGCATTATTTGTAGGTGCATAACATTGTATGATTGTGACCTTTCTTCCTTTTGAGTTGAATCTTGCTGTCATGATCCTGGAGGAGATTGGTTCCCACTGCATGAGAGCCTTCGATGCTCTTGAGGACATCATGATAGCCACTCCCTCAGTGTGCTCGTGGTTGGCGTCTGGGTGACCGGAGTAGATTATTGATTCTCCAGTTGACAGTTTGGAGAGTCCACTCCCATTCCATCTGCTTTCGCAAATCCCAAGCACTTCGATGTTATACCTTCTCATCTCCTTTGCAATCTGGGCTGCCTTACTGGGTTCAAACATCGTGCGGACATTCCATGTCCCCACGTTTACTTTCGCTTTCATCGAGAGAAGACACATCGGCCAATTGGCTTCCCGAAGGCTTTCACCAACTGGCGTCATTTCGCCTCTCCGATTCCAGCGGGGAATAAGTTTGTTTTCATTTTTTATATTTTGTTTGTGCTTTGAAGTTTCTTTAGCGGTTAGATTTGTTTTACGGGGTAGGGTTGCTAGCCCTATGCCCAACCTTCCCTCTTTACCCGGGCTTAGGACCGGCTAGTAACTAGTAAACTAGTTAACCAGGCGAGGTTACAGTTACAGTTACTGAGTAACAAATACTGACATTTTTGTGCAAACTGACTATACTTAAATAAATGTGATTGTACAGCTACAGAGGATGATGAAGCAGAATATATATGTAAAAGTTTTTTTCCTGTCAGTAATTTTATTTTCACTGATTATTTGAAATTATCTATTCCCTAAAGGATACAGTTGCCAAGAAACCTTATAATCCTATTATTGGTGAGACATTTCATTGTAGTTGGATTATTTCACCTCATCAACTCAATAGTGGATCATGTTTACCAGAAACAAACAGAGATAATAGTAAACTATTATCTAATAACAATAAACCTATAGTTATACGATATTGTGCTGAACAAGTTTCTCATCATCCACCTATCTGCTTTCCATTTTTATTGTCCTGCAAAGAAAATGGAATTGACTGCATCAATATACACTAATCAAAATTTCAAGGAATGAGTATTTCTGCTGCAATGTTAGGTAGAAGTAAGCATAAAGTTTAAAATTTATTTTGTTGTGATCATTATTTATGAAATTAATTATATTCTTCTCTCGTTTTAATGAATATTCTATTGCTGGATCGAATTGTTCGATCTCCATTGGTATATATTAGCTCCTTTGCGAATGCTTCGATAACTAATGGGTACGAGGCTCGAGTTTTAGGAGGAACAGCATTACTCACCGGAGTGCAGGTGCATCCGACTGACAAGTCCCAAATAGGACGAAACTTGCGTCTTGAATTCCTCTGCTACTCACAACCAAGTGAATTATCATAATTAATGTTTAAGCGATATCGAGGCATCCGTATTGGAGCCCATATGCCAATAGAGGTCGAACAATTCGATCTAGTAAAAAACAGAGAATTACAAGCACATAAATAAATAGTAATAACTAATACCCATTATACAAGAGGTGGCTATTGTGCTTCCTTGGTCTGATAGATAACGCCTTGGCGTCTGGAGTGATGGGTACGGGGTTGGAGTCTCAGTTGTATCAACATGAGTCACTAGAGTGCTGGTACATCCAGCTGACGAGTCTGAAATAGGACGAAATGCACATCTCAAATCCTTCTGCTAGCCAGAATCAATTAAATTACCGATATGAATGTTTCATTTTCTTCCATATGGCTGTGAATCTGACTTGGTTTTCTCTAATTCGAAGGACAACTGTTTTTGGTAATACATTCAGTTGTTAAATGTTGAGAAAATCGGTAGCTGCTGATTTTGTCTATGAAATCTTTAGCATTCTCCTGTCATGTAGACACAAGTCGTTGTAACTATAAATTGCTTAGATTGAAGGCTATCCAGTGATGGAGTACTAAATTGATGTTGAACTGCTTGGTTAAGTTCACTATCTCTGGCTCATGACTGCTGTAATGTGTTGCCTATAACAGGACGAATTGAATCTCTCCCCCCCGCAAAAAATGCACTTGCACGTTCATATTGTAGGCATGCATCACACCTACTTTTTTCAGGGCTAGTGATACTAAGTAGCTCCCATAGTTTCTTTAGGTAAAGTTGTGTTCGAACCCATGACCCACTGGTTAAAAGTTAACTCTGTAGACTAGTGATCCACGTCTTCGCAACTTATGACAAATAATTAAGCTTTGGTTAGTAGAAAACCATATAAGTCTTACCAATGAATGTAATGATACACTGTCATGTGAAGTGGTTGAGTGTGTTGACCACTTCACTTACCTGGGAAGTAGGACCAACCCTGGTGGGTTAGTTGCCGATGAGATTCTGCACGGATACAAAAGGCTCGATTGGCTTTTGCCAATTTGCGCCACCTATGGCACCGCCGTGATATTCGTTTGTCTATTAAGGGTCGCGTGTACTGCATGTGCACAGCAGTCGGTCTGTTCTACTGTATGGCTGTGAGAGATGGCCATTGAAAGTGGAAGATATAAAAAGGCTTCATGTGTTTGACCACCTTTGCCTTCGTAGTATAGGACGTATTCCGTGGTGTCACCATGTGAGTAATGCAGAAGTTAGGTGTAGAGTTTTGAGGAGAAGAGGTAAGTCAGTTGACGAGGTTGTGAACCTTGATCGACTGAGATGGTTGGGACACGTACTACGTATGCCTAGTCACCGATTGCCTCGTCATACAATGTTGGCTGAGGTGGGTCGAGGCTGGAAAAAGGCTGGAGGGAGGTGGCGAGACTAAAACATGGCACCAATGTATGAAGTCTCTGACTGTTGGTTTGAGCCATGTGGGGTGATGCAGACTAGGTGGTTGGGGTCGGTGGGGGGACAAGAGGAACCAGTGGTTGGAGACCCTAGGTGATATGGCTGAGAACCGAAGTCAGTGGCGCACACCTGTACACACATTATCCTCATGTTAACGACGCCATATCGAATCTCACCATTTTGTCACTCCTCTATCCTTTCTTCTTGTACTTTGTATTTCTTTTGACTGCATTCACTTATCTTCATTCTTCGCCTCACTACCTCTTTACTTGATGGCTGATATGAGGTGTGGCAAGTGGGACCGTTACTCAGTAATGCCTGGTCCTATGTTGATAATGATGATGATGATGATGATACACTCTCATCCTCTATAACGCAGATAGTTTACAGAGGAATAATCTTCACCTCTATCATAATTAACATCTGTCTTCAAAATATGCATTGATAAAGCTTAGAAGAAATACTGTAAAGTGGACAAGCGCTTACCAACAACTTGTGGTACTTATCACATGACTTGTACATTCAACGACTCATTTATGTTCTTGAAGAATAGCTGTACTATACCGTATTAACTTGTTATACTTTAGCCATTGGCACGATACTCTCATAGGGTTGAACTTATAGATGAGCAACTCCAAAATTGAAGTCGAGGGCGTATATAAAGGATATTGATTGTTACATGCTATGTTGCAGTATTACTGGCGAAATCTCAGCTCAAATGCAGTAGACCTGTTTAACATTTACCAACTTGGATTATCTATGGTGCCAGTAGACGAGATATCCAACCATCTGTTAATGTAATGAGTATACTACACTGCAGTTTGTTCTGTGCTAAATGTAGCCGTTACAGGGTTCTGATCACATGTAATCTTCATAAGATTACTTTCGATTTGATGGAGTCATCATGTGAATAATGCTAAGGTAAGGAGAAGGGTGTTAGGCAAGAAAAACAAGTTTTATTGATTATGTGAAGTTTCATCAACTGAGGTGATATGGAAATATGTTGCACATGCCGAATCACCGCCTGCTTCGACGTGCCATATTAGTAAATATTGTCTGATAATCATTACTAAACATATTTCGATAAAGTATTTGGTTGCTGCTTATTACATCCACATAAAAAAGCTAAACTGGTTGGCTTTGGAATATTAGTAATGTATGATTGGATTGAGATGGTTTTACAAATAATATTTTAACTTTGGTTTGGTACAGCTGTTTCTTTGTAGTCTGGTACTCCCCAGCAGTGCGTACCTATGACCGTGCCCCACTAGCGATCGAATCTGTGACCTTCAGGTCCTGCGGCCAGGAAATTATCATTAAGCCACATTGCCGAAATCCAGTGGCTGATGCTTCCTACTTCTTTCATTTCATGGTGTATATACATAGTGCTTATATATCATATATGATATGTATGATAGCGATTAATGCCAACTTGAAAAATCAATAAATAAGTTTCTACAAATCTCCATATTGAACTAATCTAGTGCTCATTGGTGACTAGCTTCAAAAGGTAATTCCCAAAGCTCCAATGAGAATTCGTAACCGATGAAGTCAACCAATTCTAACGTGAGGCAGGGGGTATTTAATGCAGGTTGCGCTTTATTATAAACCGATAGAAGTAGGAAATGTGAATGGTTGGATTCCAACCCAGTGGCTTAGTGGAACCTGATGTAGTCATGGGTGCTCACTACTGATGAGTACCATGTCGGGACGAAACAGCTGTCCATTGCTACCAAGTTTCCAATGGTTCTCCAACCGATATAAGTTCTGAAACTAATGAATGAATCCTCATAAACCTACAAATTGAATCATTAACTGTAGTAATGAGGAGTTTGAGGAATGTAACGAATATTCGTAACTGGGACTATGAATGTTGAGATTAATTTGTTCTGTATATCGCATTTTGTTGAACAAATTGAATTCTAACTAATTTTTTTAATTCTCAATACTTGTATACATTTGAGTTTATGATGTTTAGTTGACTGAGATGACTTGAACGTGTACTGAGTATTCCAACCCACCGCCTACGCTCAATATGCCATACTAGAGGAAGCTGGATTGGGTTGTAAAAAGCTTCAGAGTGATCACATCAAAACATGACACCAGTTGAAGATGTCCCTGACTTGTTGTTCTGAGGTGTATAGGAAGATGTATACACAGCCTGGTTGGCGTCCCAAGATGAAAGGAATAAGTGGTTGAGAATTCTTGGTGATCTGGCTGAAAATTGGTTACAATGATGGCATAGATGTATTCACTCTTTGACTTCTTCTAAAGCTTGATTATTCGCACTAATCTTTATGTTCAGATTGTTTATTCTGTCACACTACTTTATCCTCTTGATTGAAGACATGGTGAAATTACTTCTCCTTGTGTTTGAGCCTTCACTGATAGTTTTCAGAGATTGAAAACAGTTTACTTACAAACACAGGAGAAGTACTTTACATGTTGTCACTGTCTTTTTTCGTAATATTCTTTGTAGTCTAACAAATGTGTTAATATGTTCGTTGTGCCTTTTTGGATTACTCATCACCCTTTGACTCTGTTCCTAGACCACTCTTGTTTAATAAGTTTGTCTTAACTCATACTGAGCCTTGGGTTACAAAGTGACCTTATTCTTACTTTTCTGTAACGGAACAGTATACTGTCTATATACAGGGAAGCGCTTCACTTCATTGCTTATTGAAGCTGGTATGCCTCAAGGTACTGTACTTTCTCCTTTTCTGTTTTCGTTCTTTTTGCATGATTTCACCTTATTCTGTTGAAACTAATTTTATTCAGTATGCAGATAACCTGACGGTGTTTATTTCAGTTAACTCTCATTTAGATTGCACTGAATTAAATGGGAACTTGTCTGTAATTAACCAATAGTCTCAAGTTAAACCCTTCTAAACGTCAGACTGTTGGTTCCAGCTTCAGGCATAAACAAGACAAACTCATGTGAGCTGCATAAGTCTCATGACGCCTGTTGCATTGATGGTATTTTGCAGAAAGTAAGCGAACCGTTAACTATCTTGAGTTGAGTATTACTTATGACCTTTATTGGTCATATCATATCTTGTTGACTTGTAAAAAAATCTCTCTGGTATAATTCAACTTCTACTTTTGGATTTCATCTATTCTTTCTATTGTTCCCTACTGATCTTTCCTAGTCTTCTAAAAATGAACTATGTTATATTGCGTAGGTTTTGAAAGCCGTCAGTAGGGGGGTGAGTGCTGTGTCTCTAGCCCAACTGTTTAACACTGTACTTAAC